AGAAAATATTTATGACGTAAACTTTGAAATGATTTATTGAAATAAATCATTAGAACAAATGAGAATAAATTAAATATGAGAACCTTTTATGATAAAGGTCAATTAAACTAATTTTGACTCTGTCGAAGTCAAACACCCAAAAATATGATGTCGGAGAAAGTATAACGAATAAATATAAAAATTATATCTCGTTGGATAGAGTTTAATTGTCTGATCACAACGGTGCAAACGGAATTCAATTCAGAGAAAGTTGGACCAAAAAGTGTACCCCGACTGGGACCAAAATTAGTCCCAATCAGTGAACGGCGTGTGAAATCCTACAAATCCGCCGTCCTGCGCACTAAATCGATCACCAACGAAGAAATGGAATCCTGAGTCACACCCATGTCTTCTTCTTCACTTCTTCTCCTATAAAAGGAACCCAATCTCATCCATTTCTTCATCAAATTCCTTCAAATAAACTCTGAGATGAAGCTGTGAGTGTAGAGAACAAAATGGGGCTGTCAATTTGGGGTGAAGTCGCCGGAGCTAGCCACAAACCTCGCCGGAAGTCTCACTGGAAAATTCTCAAAACCTTCGATAAGCTTCGAGGTAAGCCCGTTGATATATCTAATGACTAGAATGTTCGTATAGATCGTTTCTGCGTTCATAAACGGTCGTTTGGTTGAGTTTTGTGTTTGATAAGCTTAAAGAACCAAGAATCATAAACCTTGAATTTGATGTTTAAAATATGTTTGAATAATTCTAATATGATCTATGAACCTTGGAGAACATCTCTATATAGTTTAATTAAAGTTCGGTGACTAAAAATGGTTTTCCCGAAAAATGGACCGAGGTTGAAGACGATTGAACAGTACCTGAAACACACTGTCTGGATCGATCCTAAGGCTTGGATCCATCCTAAGGCTTGGATGGATCGATCCAGAGGGCTGGATCGATCCCCCGAAGTCCTGATCCGAAAATTTGTCTGAAAATGCTATTTTTGAGCTTTAAAATCCTATTTTTAATACCAATTGATTATGATCATTATAAAAATGATTTACCACAATAAAAATGATGTTTTTAACAACTTAAAATGATATGTGTTGCATGACGGTAAGTTCGGGTGTTAACACTCGAAGCTAGACCGCTATTTGTTATCATTGGTTATGTTAATTGATGATTATGATAAATGAATATTATGGGTGATTATGAGTAATGAACCCACTGATTAAAATAAGTATTTATGATAGAATCATGAGTAAAATGAATACAGTTATAGTTATGAAATGATTTGTAGTGTTAAAGGTATCTAGAGGAACTCTAAGATATACACATTTAGAGAATTGATGTTAAGGGTATCTAGAAGACCTCTAGAATAGATCTCATATTAGTATGGATTTGTGAAACATGAATATTCGATGAATTAGATAAAAATGCATAAACGGGATTCGTAGACCAAGCTAGAGGATTACTCGTTTGGGAATGCCCGATCCAATGTTGACCAATTGCCATATTGTTGTTGTTGCCTTAACTGACTACAGTTAAGTGTCTGAATCATTTGCCTTAAACTAGTGATAGTTTAAGTGTCTGATTGCCTTAACTGACTATAGTTAAGTGTC